GCAGGAAATGAACTGAAGAGAGATGGGGGCTAGAATGGCCTCTGAGACACAGAAACGCTATTGCCTCCATCTTCCCCACAGAAGTGCCACTAGACACGCCCCGCAACTCACTCTCTCGCTCATGGGAAGTGTGGAGGTTGGAGCACAGCTGTGATTTCAGCAGGCTGACACCCTTCACATAGCATCCTAATGAGGATGGTTCGCTGCTCTCGCATTCCTCCACTGCAGAGTCCTCCCTCCTCGCAGGAGTATTATTAGTAAATATGAATAAACTGCCTTCCAGGTCCAAAGTCTTCACAAAACACCAAACACCACAATGGGCAGGAGTGTGAAACAACATTCTTCAGTGTTTCAGGGCAGATACAGTAAGAGCAACAGAGATGTCAGTTATTAAAAGATGGGATTTTCCTTGCAGGGATCCCAACACTCTTTGATGAAGATAAAATACTTTTTTTTTTTTCATCATGTTTCTCTTGCTACAAAAGACAAAGAGAACCCATAGGTCTGAACAGTTCTGAAAACAAAAGGAAGAGCCAAATTACTGAACACCACTCATAAATGCAAAAAGGTCATTGTTCACCAAAAGGTCACTGAGAAGCGATCACTAGTAAAGAACACATGGAAGTTCTCTGTGCATAGATTTAAAATTAACTCACACAAAGTTTTGCCACATGGCAAATGCACACAAATTCCTGTGAGGCTTTACCTGCCCTATTGCAACACGTCTTCTCTTCCTCCCACCTCACACGCCTCAAAATCTGAAGCAGAAAGTGTCACGTTATGTATTTTCAAGTGGTGGCTTTGGGGCCAAGCTTGCATATGAATTGGTGTTGCTGAATCTGGCCACTGCTGCTCACATGGGTAAAACATCAGAGTGCTAGAAAGACGAGGAAGGATGAGACAAAAGCAAACACATTTGCCCATATTGGCTGCATTGATAATTTTAACTCTGTTGATGACTTCAAGGCTTTCTCTCTAGGAAAGTGCCAAGAAGAAAGGCCAGCCATTTCCACTTCTCCTGCCCCAACATGTAGCTCTGGCATGAAGAAATGTATCTCTGTGAAATAGTGAGAGAAGTGATCTAGGTCATGAGAAAGACAAAATATACAAACTTAAGCTTATTTACTTGAGTGAGGCACAGAGATCATAGAATCATAGAATAGTCTGCGTTGGAAGGGACCTTAAAGCTCATCTAGTCCAACCCCCCCTGCAATGAACAGGGACATCTTCAACTAGATCAGGTTGCTCAGAGCCCCATCAAACCTGACCTGGAATGTTTCCAGGGATGGGGCATTTACTACCTCTCTGGGCAACCTGTGACAGTGTTTCACTACCCTCGTTCAGAAAAATTTCTTCCTTAAATCTAGTCTAAATCTACCCTCTTTCGTTTTAAAACCATTACCCCTTGTCCTATCACAATGGGGTCTGCTAAAAAGTCTGTCCCCATCTTTCTTAGAAGCTCCCTGTAAGTACTGGAAGGCTGCAATAAGGTCTCCCTGGAGCCTTCTTTTCTCCAGGTGAATAATGCCAAGTGTCTCAGCCTGTCCTCAGCGGAGAGGTGTTCCATCCCTCTGATCATTTTCGTGTCCCTCCTCTGGACTCACTCTAACAAGTCCATGTCTCTCCTGTGATGAGGGCTCCAGACCTGGACACAGGACTGCAAGTGGGGTCAGAATTGCCTCAGCTGGATTTAAAAAAAAAAGGTAATTTAGGAAGCAATAGGGAAGACCTGCTCTTTTCCTGACTAAAACTGATTTGCCCTTTCAGCTGGTTCCAATACACCTCCCCGGAACGATATGAGACCCTCTCCCCACAGACAGTTTGGCCCGTTGTACCAGGTGCACCGGTGCACAGGCACTGAGGGGCTGCGGGGACTGCCTGGTGCTGGACACGGATGGTTCCAGCCAGCTCCAACCTACTCCCTCTGGGTGGAGGCTGGCAGCCAGCCAGTGTCAGCCCACCACACCTGCCCAACTGACACGGACTAGAAATCTCAGTGGCCAGTTTTGGATGCTGGAAAAAATAAGGTTCAGTCCTGTAGATTACCTGAAAAAGGAGATTTTTGTCCTATTTCTGATACCGATTTTGCAATTTTGCCCTTCTTTACATTTCAGCTTGGAGACAGACAGATGAATGGCAAAGAAAAAGATATTCACTCAACTGAAAAAATTTTCTGGACTAGGTAGAAAAACCATCTTGCTTGACAGAGATGATAAACCTAAGTCTCAAATTCCCCAATCCTCATTTCAAGAAGTCATTTAATGAGGAACTGGGAAAGGCAGCATTGTACCATGAGCAGAAACATTACCCCTTTCCAGAGTCTGAACAACACAGCAAGACATGCTCTCAGAGAGCACAGCAGTCTGCAAAACACAAGGCAGCAGCTAAGAAAATCTACATTCAAACACAGGGAGTCTTGCTGCATTCACTGATGCTGTCAGAAGGATCTTTCTCATTTCTTCCTGATCCTGTTGGAAACATAAATGCAGTCTTCTGATCCGGCTGGACGGCTAACTATCCATGGAGAGAAAAACTAAATCTGTATGATGAAAGTCATGCTACGTTCTCAACTGAAACTTCAGCTGGTAACTTCTTCTATGTACCTAATTAACATTTAACAATTTCTAAAGTCCAAATAATGTCACTCCCATGGAAGCAAAACTTAGAAACACCTCTGTACAAAGCCAAAGGATGCTGATCTGGCACTAAGCACAACCACCCACTCCTTTTAAGCTACTTAATAAGCCTTAGAGTTTGTTGCCTTCAAATTTCTGTATAGTCATAAATATTTCCTGAACCATTAAGTCTCAGTTCTTGTAAGAAGTTCTCAGTGGATATGTCTGTTGGGTGGGTTTCATCTGACCACTTTTCACCAAGACTACTCAGTCACAGGTTAAATACAAGTGAGTGAGTCGTCCTATTGATGACTCATTGACTCAAGTCAATGGGACCATTTGCATGCTTAAGCCTAAAAAGATTATGTGCTCTGCTAATTCAGGTCTCAAAAACGAAGCTTCCTCTGTACAAAAAGGAATGTAGAGAATGAATAGTGGAAGAAGGGGGGAAAAAAAAAGCTTTGGGTGTTTTGTGACTGCCAGATGGATTTAGGAAATGAATAAACAAATTGCACGTTACTGTGCAATGGCAGAAAGGACATCAATAGAGATACAGGAAACAGCCGATCTTACTGAAGAGAGAAGAGGAAAAAGCAGGGTTCCCAGGCCAGACAGTTTTCCCTAGGTAAACAACGTGGAGGGGAGAAACATGGAGAGGGGTATCTCCAAGGATTTCTTCACGTGTAGTCTACCATAATTTTGCATAAGACCTGAATCTACATTATTTCATTAAAAACTTTAGCCTCCTATGAGCACTTTCACCCTTTCTCTGATTAGAAAAGATCGAGTTTCTGCATGGCTGTTCTTATGGTTTGAGAAAATCAGCACACTGCTACCTTTCCTGATGAAGTCAGCAAAAATCCCATTAGCAGAGGAGGTGAGAAAGATAGTCCTGGGGAACTGCTTTATGATGTATTCTTTTTAATATTAAACTTCGCTAAATCCATTGTGTGTAAGCAAATTCCAGATGGCCACTAAAAGAAAAACTCCAAAAGGTTGTTTTCTGGCTTCAGTATTGAACTGGAAAGGAGACTTAACTGCAGAACCTGTGCTGCTGGTGCTATGAGGCTAATGAGACAGAAAAAAGTCTATGTTAACCAACGTGGGTACAGTAAAAAAATAACCAGGTAATAGGAAAACTTCCTTATTTTAGCTTGAATTTTTACAAAGGATAAAGAAAATATTCATTCCTACCACAAGGAACCTCTTCATTCTTATTCTGTCACTTCCTTTTATATGTCTCTTTTACTGGTCTGCATTTCATGACAGTCATTACCACAGCGCACAAGCTCCTGCCTATATACTACTGGTGACATGCAATCTTACGAAGATTGACTACTACATAAAAAACACAAGGCTGTACCACTAGAAGACTGTAAGTGTCAATATGAGCTCACCAGTTGTTGCGTAGACCGTGTATTTTACAGAGGCAATTATATTTCCATTTTCTTGAGTTTCACACTGGAAGGTAACGGAATGGGTATCTCTGCAAACTTCCATAATAGCTGAATCATTGGGAAGAATGTGTGCTGTCTAGCCATATAAAAAAGAAAAGAAAAAAAGGAGGTTGCATTTTTTCAAATAGATCTGAAAAGACAAGTTGTGTTGTGTCAGATGGACAGAAAAGTGCCTATTCTACTCCAACAGCTTTCAACCTGTCAGGATCTCTTGGTCCCTGATGGGAAAATTCCTCCCATCTCTTCAGCACCTCCTACTTGAACAAAGCCATGTAAGTCATTGTATTACCGACTCATCAGTGAGAAATCAGGGCTTATTTGTATTATGATGGCAAAGGAAATAATCTGCCTAGAAGTCTGTACAACTCAGATGGAGCACAGGGTAAATACATGCAGCATGCGATATTTCTGCACAAAGTGGAGTTCAATTACTCACCTTGTTTGGAATTAGTATCTTCCATACATATTTAAATCGATTTTCAGGAGGTATATAAATACAAGACATCTTCACGCAGGCAACGCCCTCAGAGATTGGTATTCCCCCTACAGGAGGAATTTTTAATAGGTATATCAGCAACTTAAACATAAACATCTCTATATAGATCACAAAATTCATAATTCTTCAAACCACAAAATGTTACTTGGAAATTATCCTTTCCCTTAAAATTATTTCAAATACGTTTTGCGTGGTCTAATGTCTGGAATGAAGCACATAGCAGGAAAACAGTGTTTTACAGGACTCGAAATCAAGCACACATCAGTACAGAAATGAGATCTGAAACATTACTGGATTGCTTAGCAGGGTGATTGGAGGGTGGAATGCAATCACTTCATTCCACTTCCACCACGCTCACAGAGATCAAGGCTGTTTCCTTTGAATCAACTCACTTGCTCTAGATTACTATATCACAGTGTTCCACTTACATCCACAGTCTACTGGCCCCCGGCCTTCCTCCACCCAGGGCATCCACTGGTTAACAGAACTTCTCGAATGCCAATCCCTTTTAAGGAAAAAAAAAAAAATCTTTCACTCTGCATTTCTTCATTTCCTTCATACTCTGTTTTTGCTTTCTCTTTCTTTATCCTGGATGTTAATATGATGTATCTACCAAATACCAGGCAAAACAGATCTTCTCAGAGTGCCTGCTAAAACTATTTCATATTGGTATCTAAGATTTCAAGACAACATCTACTTCTGTCAGACTCTGCACCATAGGGAGCCAGATTCTTAGAATCATCATCTGCCAGAAAAAGAGTTCAAAATTAATTCAAAACTTTTTTTACAGAAAAAGAATTGGAAATGAAACTAGTATATGTTCTACAAAACAGTTAATTCACTTTAAACATAAAATCATTTATGCTCCTGGCCTTTAAATGCTCAAATCAGATGGCACAGAGAATCTTGTACAGACTGCCAACTCAGTCTGCCTCCACTCTTGTGACTGTCTGTCTTCAACTCCCACCAAGGTCAACAGAAACTGAAGGCACTAAAAACCTCCTGGCACTATGATTGAGGGGTCTTAAGTTACCTAACAGTGACCAACAATAAGTGATACAAGAATACCACTAACATTCCCCAAAACGAAGCCCACAAGCAGGGAGGCTAGTGGTCAGTAACATAGGGCTCCTCGTGAGAAAGAGGTGAAATCAAGTGTTGACCACCAGGACTCCATCTGCAAGTTGGAAGGTCCTACTGAAGACAAAGAATAGGAGATAGCCTATCACAAATATGTAAAGTTAATGAAAATTCCTGTACAATGTTCAAGGAAGCAAAACAAATGTTCAGTCTCACTATCAGGATTTCAATGGGAACATCCTCATTTTAACAATTGTGAACAAATTCAAAACAAGTGCTATAATTGTTTTTGCCAAACAGTGTGTACACAGTTCATTGGAATGACATCGCTTGTGGGGGAGGCAGGAATAATATGTTTAGGCCCAGAAAACACTGAAGGTTTTGCCATTTTTCCAGAAGCATTTTGTTTACTAATAGGCATGGGAAGAGAAGACTTAAACCCCGCTTTGCAGTAGAGTAATAAATAGGAAATTGGTTTTAATATTGCATTCATGATGTATCTGTCTTCCTTAAATGTGTATTAAATAAACCAATGGATTTCAGAATGTTTCAGAGATGTCGTGTAACTGGTGAAACAATACTTCAAGTGACAGAGAGAGACAACACCACTTACTGAAAATGACACAAAACGAGGATTGTTCTCCACTCCAGAGAATGTCTCACCTCATGGATGCAGAGACAGAGGTGTAAATGGCAGTGAACTGACACTTTTATTAAAGGTATTCCTCTTTCTTCAGTGCCATGTAGTTTTTTTAGCTAACAAAAAAGACAGGAAACTTATGAAAACCCAAAAGGCTGGCTTGATAAAATCTGGGTGCTGGGCTAAATGTAGTCACATTCATCAGGAAAAATCTCACCATGTCTTAACTACGGGAATATTAAAATTTGGGAAGTATACCACACTCAAAGGCTTGATGAAAAAAAGCTCTTTTAATTGGATCTGCAAGTTCTTTTGGTACTCTTCTGCCTCTTCCTTTTGGACAGCATTTTCTTTCATTCCTGTTTCCTTTCCCCACCTCTTTTTAGTAGCTGCCAGTGCTGATGAAATTAATCTACTGAGATGCTCTAACAAATGAAGTCTTAACGTCAACAAGTCATATGAGTTAACCTAACAGAAAACTGGCCACAATGCAGTAAAAATAAATTACCCAAATGAAATTCTCCCTAGAGAAATGTAAATTATCAGACTGGCGGAGGGAGGGACGTAAGGACAGATGATCCACAAAGAACCCAATATTTAGCAGTACAAAACCAGCAGTTATGAGAGAAATTTAGAGGTAAGAGTTGCCAAAACAATTCAACCACAAAGAGACTAAGGCAAATTTGAGGCAGGTATGACAAGTCATCATTAACATATGCTTTAATTATGCTTTAATGCCTCTGTAAGCCTGGACTATGAATAGAGGAGCAATGGATCTGAGCCACAGCATTATTGGGAAAAAAATAAACAAAACAGAGTCATTTCAGAAAGCAAGAAATATAAAGGCCTAGTGAAGTGATAGATAAATCAAGGGAATACGAAGGAATATGAAGGAGAGAAGGAACTTACAGCTTTACTGGAAGAAACAAGAAGCCACTTTCCAGCCTCTCAACAGACAAAAATGCCATGCATTGACCAGCCTGGGCTAGAAACATGATCTGAATTCCAGATATGAAATGATGCCAGATATGAGATGATACCTTTTTCTTTTTTGTTAGAGCTTCCCTTTCCCGATTCTTCAGTAAAACTAAGTAATTTTCAGTATTAAAGGGATTAAACATTTTGTATTGGGTCTGGCTAGGAAGGAATTTTCCCCATAGCAGCCCTTACAGTGCTGTTGTGCTTTGTACTTGTAGCTAGAAGGGTGTTGATAACACACTGATGTTTTGGCTTACTGCTGAGCAGTGCTCCCACAGCATCAAGGTTGTCTCTTCACACCCCACACACCCCAAAGGCCATTGGGCCGGGGGTGGGCAAGAGGCTAGAAGGGGACACAGCTGGGACAGCTGACCCAAACTGACCAAAGGGATATTTGATTCCTTACCATACCAAAAGATTCCATACCATATGATGTCATGGTCAGCAATAAAAGCTAAAAGGAAGGAGAAGGGGGGGGGGGTGATATTTGTTATTAAAGCATTATTTGTATTCCAAAGCAACCACTACGCATACTGGTGCCCTACTTCCCAGGAAGTGGCTGGACATCACGTGCTGATGGGAAGTAGACAATAAATTTTTTGGCTTGTTTGCTCTGCTTCTGTACATGGCCTTTGCTCTTCTTTATTAAACTGCCTTTATCTTGACCTATGAGTTTTGCATCTTATTTTCTCCCCCTGTCCCGCTGAGGAGGGGAGTGATAGAGTGGCTTGGTGGGCACCTGGCAGTCAGCCAAGGTCAACCCACCACTATATGAACTCTGAGGGATCAAAGATAAAACTGAGACAAAATTTAGTGAAATTCCCTGAAAACAAGGAACATTCAAGACATCTGCTAGAGGGATGGGACTTAAGGAGCAGTTTCTTAGTATCCAAAAGATATGTGCATCAGAGCAAGTGAGATTATATGGGGATATATACATGGCATCAGTATACAGAATGTAAAAGCTGATTTGAAATGAAGAAGTTAAGAAATAGAAATATTAAAGTATGTAGAAAAAACCAAAATCTCCTAAAACCATAATGTCCTAAGATTGGAACTAGAAGGGAATCAAGGAAGTTCTATCATTCGAAATACGAAAACGTGACTGGAAAAAATGAAAAGGCATACTCTAGAAAACGTCAGACTAATGGGGGCAAAAACTTTTTTTTTTTTCGTGGTAAGAAGCTGAATTTTTTCAGAAAAAAATTAATAGCATTTCTGATTCAAGACTGCTTCCTTAGCAATATAATTACCACCTCACAGCAGTTTCTATCACCACCGTAAACACAGAGATATCTTCTTAAGGCTCATCTCATATTTCCTTTCTCCCTTCCTACTCCAGAATGATACCTCTCCTCTCCATTGCACAATTTAGAAATTGTATCAATGTGGAATACAGAACAGGCTACCGCAGGCAAGCAATTTTTTGGCAATATTGTATGTGGGAAGACATCTGTGAGAAGCATCAGAAGATCTTTCATCTTCTGAACATCTCACAGATGTTCACAAATAGCGAAAATTGTTACTTTGGGGAAGGCAGCTCATGTGCCAATAAACATAGGGAACTGGTTTAAAATAAGAGCTTGCAGGCTGTGAAATTAATAAAACAACAGATCTGACCTAAACTCCTAATGACAATCAGCCTGATTGTTTTTGTTAATTATAGTTATTGGCAATTGAAATCAATGAGAGGTGAACGAGGGCAAGCAAATTACAACTGCTAAATTGCTACAGTTAGCACTTTTTTTTTTCCAAAACTAAATGACAATATGTTTTATTCATCTGCTTTGCTACTTACCACATGTAACTGTGCATACTCCAAATTCTACTTCCGTGGACACACTGGCATTCAGACCTGAACACAAAGCCTAAAGTTACATCTCTAATACAATGACAGGTGTGGAAATGCCCAATTAACAGGAAACTCACTCCTTGAAATCTTTACTACTTTTTAGTTGAAATGTGAAATTTGCCAACATTTTTGCTTTCACTAACTAAACCAGAAAAACAAGACATTTATAAAAAATTTATCATAAAATCCAGTGTGAACAGCATTCATGTTTAAACCTTAAGATGATTCTGTAAAAAGGAAAAAAACCCAGTATTTTTCTTATAAACCAGCCCATGATGTTAAATTAGCCTACTGAATGCTCTGGCAAGCGCAGTGTCTAGGTTCTATGCAAATTATAGGTCTTCCCTGAAAAGAGTTAAGAAAAATTTTCATTAAACAATATTCAGTTAACTCATTTCCTTGTTCCTTCTGGCTAACATACGCCTTCCCACATGATTTTTTCCCCATCACACTTCAAGGTCAGGCTTAGACAGCCAGCACAAAGATGAGTCAACCAGGTACAGTATTTTAATGAGGTACTGGGGTTTTAATCACTGTGATTGGGTTCCTTCCATTTTTTAATGGTACTCTGAGGTTGCAGAATGGGTTTCACAGAATGTACAAAAGCAAAAGGTTCTCATCTCCATCTGGGATTCAAATCTGGATTATATATTTTATACCTAATGGCATGCAATTTGAATGTTTGTTTATAAGGATACTGAGATACAGTAACTGTTCCCTAGAGAAACTTAGTGAAGCTCCTTTGGAAATTATTCATTAAATAAGAAATAGGTCTTTTTCAAGTCTTCCAAATGCAAAAAGAAAGTCACTATGACTGTTTTTACAAGTCTACACTGCCAGTCCCACCTACTCAGATAATTTTTTTCTGATAACAAATACCTACCAATGTAAAGTTTGCTTTCACTGTCTCTCAGCTTTTTATATTCAAGATTATGTTTACAAAATGTTATTTCTGTGCAGCAATGCAAGTTTATGTATCACTTCTTGCTACTTAATCTCCGAGTAACATTTACATTTTTCACACACTACCTAAAACTTCAAATTTCTCAGGAAAGGAGAACAGATCCATTTCTCTTGCAGTCAGTGATATACAAATATAAAACCTTTATTCCTCCACTGTAAAGGATTTACACTACAGCAGCACGGTGCGTTCTCCACAATGATATACTGATACTGAACTCTTTTCCTCAACATTATAAATGAGCCGTCAACATCTTATTCTTCTGTTATCTCTGTCTCTATGGTTTTGACATTTACTTCAGCATATAAGCTGTACTCGTCAGAACGGTCTTCTAATGTATACACAACAAACCTTAAACAATAGTTTTAACTATCCAGCTGAATGATAAAAAATCCAACCTTAGACAAAACATAAGAAAAAAAATGATAAGACTAAGATCCTATGAAAAGAGAGACAACCTTTAAAACAGTTAGTGTATCCTCAAACTCTGTCTCTAATGAGCCTTAAAAAATAACAACTTCTTTAGAAGATGGTCCCCACCACAGACATCCCTTAGCTTCTTTTAAATTAATGGGGCAGTCATTCAACAGTCTTGTCTAACAACAACTACTGCAGCACGGCAGAGAGGGGGAGGAAAACTTAAGGATCTCGTCTACAATCTAAATACAGTCCTGCTTAAAAATACCTGTTTTCAACTTGGTACAATGTGAGTTGCACTTGTTCACTTGTGCAGAATAAATGTAAACATGGAAAAATTAATGAGAGGGAGGGCTAAGACAGATTCAGATTATGTAAATTCTCAACTCAACAGATTTATGACAATTCATATCAGCTTACGGTAAGCCCCAAACCTCTACCCTGAAAGTAGGCATTACTGTAATTCAACCTTGAGGTGACAAGCTGAGTGTAGCCACAGCAGGGTCTCATCATATCTGAAAGGAGAAGCTGCCACTTGCCATCCAGACACAAACTTAAAAAAAAAAAAAACAAAAAAAAAAACCAAGAAAAAGCTTTAGAAACAAGAAGAGACACAAAACTTCAGATATTACTAATAGAAGGTTGAGGGACTTTGCTAACCAGTGGTAGCAAACTTCTCCTAGTTAGAGGTGAAGATATCAATCATGATATCCTTTCAGGGTGCTCACAGCTTCAGGAGCACCATAATGCACAACATGACTCATTTGTCAGAGAGTCATAATGATGATAGGCTATAGCTCTAAATGAAAAAGATACTGTATTTTCTAATTTCTAAGTAGTAGTACTCCAAATAAAGCTTTAAACATGTCTAGATGTTAAAAGCTGTTGGGTTCTAAATTAACAAGTTAATCAGGAATCACCAATCTGATTTCTGATTTAATGAAATTTTAAAAAAAGGCAACAAAAAGAACCTTTAAGGGAAACAAGATCAGATTAATGGATAATCCTCTGGATAACGTAACACTTTTTATATGAATGTTACGAACTTTCCACGCCAATATCACAATACAAAGTTTGGTATTGCTTCTTGCAATTGCTACTTGCATTTCCTCCATACATTTTAAATGAACCAAAATGTTAAGAAAGCTTCTGGTAAGAAACTACAGATCTTTCTACTTATATAAGATGGCTGGTTCCAGTTGCATCAGGTTCAGATAAAAATATAATGTCAGCCCTATCTAAAAAGAATTATGTATACAGCTGCCATTAGCATTAATCGGAGTTATATATGTAAATCCCACACATGCTGAGATAAGAATGTGCTAAGGAACTGCATTTACATTCTTGTCAGGGGGCTGCAATTAGTACCAGCACAGCAAGGGCAGTCTGTATTCTTCTCTGCATTTGGAAGGCTTGTAAAACCTATGTAGAACAGAAATCTTTGCCATTATACACCATTTTAATTACAAGCCAGATCACAGCATACATGCAGAATAATTTGAAAAACACTTAAAAAGCCCACAGAAGTCCTATTAAAAATGTCAATGAAGAAGCACTCAAAGTCATGGTTGTGAACCGAAGGGGAACTCACGCACTCTTGATCTGGGCATCCCGTTCTCACCAAGTATGGTGCCTGTAAGAACATATGGGGTCCTGGAGGCCAAAGAGCAGAGGGGAGCGGGAGCAGCATTGCTACATCCCCAAAGTGACACCACAAGGCCTAGTGAAGGGGATGCAGGTTTCCCAAGACAGACATCTTTTCATGGGCAACTGGCTTCGCACTTGAGGGACACCTCAGCTGTGAACCTGTGCGGTTCCTGGCTCGATGACAGAGGGGAGTTGCACGTATTCAACTCTCCGTAGCCCACACTTTCGGCTACCGGAGTGACGAGGAGATCTGGAGCTTTCCCCACCTCCTTGGCCTCCTCCCTTCAGGAGGGCCCCTGGGATGCTGCAGGGCTGAATGAAGCACTGAATACGCTCCAACAGCTTCCCACGGCCTGCATCGGACACCGAGGGGAGGTCGGCACATCCTGGCGGTGATGAAGCCTTGCTCAGACGGCGCGA